GAAAAAAATGCAACCGTGTTCGCTGAATTAATACAATGCTTGGATGATAGAAGTTTGTCTTTAATAATGAGGGAAGCCAAAGGACAATGGACGCCAAGCGCTACAGATATTGTGTGAACACTACTTGTCAAAAGGTAAGCCTAAAATTATTGCTTTATATACTGAACTAACCGAGTTAAAGAGACGAGAAAATGAATCTGTAACAGATTATATTATACGAGCTGAGAATGTCACAAATGTCTTAAAAATTGCAGGTGAGACTATCTCAGATGGGCTGCCAATAGCCATGGTTTTAAAGGGATTACCACCGACATTCAAACCATTCACGACAGTCATAACTCAAAAAGATAAAAAATTAACTTTCATTGAGTTTAAAATTGCGTTACGTAGTTATGAAGAAACTGAAAAAAAGGAAATAACGTAATGCAACTGAGAACGTCATTTCAAAAATTCAGAAAACCAGTCCCTCAAACCTATCAGACTAGGAATTATGATATTAAAAACAAGGGGCTTAAAAACAATTATTACAACAACTGGACCAGAAATATCGTTTGTTTTCGTTGTGGTAAAGCCGGCCATGTACGTGCAAAATGTCAATTTTATACAAGGAATGATTTTTGTAAAAATGTAAAAACTTTTTCGAATGGGTGAACATATGCCTTTTCGTTTGGATTGGATACTGTAGCCAATAGTTATAATTCTTACCTAGTCGAAACGGGTGCGACAAATCATGTAATTACAGATGAAACAAAATTTATTAATTTTGACCCCGATTTTGAGCCAGATTCACATTTTATCGAGTTAGCTGACGGGACCAGAGCTAATAATTTAGTTTTAAAAAGAGGCGATGCCTGTATTTATTTACGAGATACTAAAGGAAATATTTTTAAATGTTTATTAAAAAGGGCTTTATATATTCCTAAATTTAAACAAAATATTTTTTCGGCTTAGTTTGCTGTTAGAACTGGAGTTAAAGTCAATTTTCACCGAGACAATTCAAAGTTAATATATCCAGACCGAACTGAATTTAATATACAACAAAATGGACGTTTGTATTATTTGAAAAGTATTAAGTCTGTGAAGACAGCCACGCACGAATTAAGGACTTGGCATAAAATATTAGGCCACTGTAATAATTTGGATGTTAAAAGATTACAAGAACACTTCACTGGAATGAAAATTACATTTCCAAAGGGCTTACGATATTGTGACACGTGTATTAAAAGGAAAATGACGAAATATAGAAATCGGGGTCAGATCTCAAAATCAACAGATATCTTGTTCTGCGTTTATTGCAATTTAGCGGGTCCAATTTCCCCAAAGGGTATAGACATCTATTCATATGTATTAAACTTTGTTGACGAATATTCAGGACTTATTATGATATATTTTCTGAAAAACAAATCTGATACCCTGCAAGCTACAAAAATCTATTTATCCGATATCCCCCCGTATGGAAAAATAAAAATAATTAGGACAGATAATGGTGGAGAATTTACTTCTGATGCTTACGAAAACCTCCTAATAAATGAAGGCATTAAACATGAGAAAACTTGTTCTTATTCACCGCACCAGAACAGAGTCGCGGAACGTAGTTGGCGGACGCTTTTTGAAATGGCTAGATGTTTGCTAATAGAATCTAAGTTACCCAAAAATCTGTGGGTTTATGCATTAAATACAGCCGTATATATAAGAAACCGTTTCTATAATAGTAACATTAAAAAGACTCCTGACGAAGTTTATACGAACTACAAACCCAATGTAAGTGGTATGCATATTTTTGGTACAATTTGCTACACATATGTCGATCACATGGCAAAACTAGATCCAAAAAGTGAAAGGGGCATATTTATTGGGTATGACAAGACAAGTCCAGCCTATATGATTTATTACCCACAAAGTAAAATGATAAGGAAGATCAGATGCGTCAGATTTACAGATTCCTTTGAGCCAGGGGAGGAACCCGAAGAAAAGAACATTAACTGCGAGGAGCTGGTCCAAATGAAACTAGTATGGCCTAATTATGGGCCAATAAGTAGAAAACCCGTTCAAAATCCACAATCAGAGGAAGGTGTTATACCAGATGATGTAGACGAGGAAAAATCAGACGCAAAACTTGAGTTAAAAGAAAATACAACCGATGAGGGGGGACAAATTCCGCGTTATCCAACCAGAAATAAAAGAAAGCCAGACTATTTTGGAATGGGTCAATGTAATATCTGTGACATTGACTGTTGCTATTCGGTACAATGTATCCCAAAGAATTATCAAGAGGCCATACATTCTGTCAATTCCAGACGGTGGATAGCTGCCATGCAAAAAGAAATTAAATCTTTAGTATCAAACGACACTTTTGAATTGAAAAAGGCCCCGGATGATAAAAATATTATCGGCAGCCGTTGGGTTTATACTGTAAAGCGTACTGAGGATGGATCGCCAGTGTATAAGTCTCGTTTTGTAGCTAAAGGATTTTCGCAGATATACGGGGAAGATTATGTAGAAACATTCAGTCCAACAACAAACATGACAACAATTAGAATTTTGATGCAAGTGGCCGCCCATTATGGTATGGATATACACCATATGGACGTTAAAACAGCTTATTTGAATGCTGCCATCGATTATGAAATATACATAGAACCTCCAGAAGGTTTTGAAAAAGGTAATAGTTATGTATGGAAACTCAAAAAGTCACTATATGGACTCAAACAGAGCGGAAGAACATGGAATAAATTAATCCATTCCTATTTAATTGAACACTAAATACTGGGCAACTTCTTGTCTTGTTCTCTTTTTCATTTTGCATTTCAGAGGACATATTTAAAAATGTAATCTCTTGTTTTGAAAAATAAAAACATTTTATAAAACATACATAAAACAAATTATTTCTTATTTAACAGTTAAAATATTTAATCCTTGAAAATGGCTAAATGTATAGCCTAAATCTTTCGGATAAAAGATCATTCGGACAGTTTTTATATAGGTTATCATCCGAAAAGAAAAAAAAATTTTAGAACGCATGAGAAATTGTATAAAAATAAAAGCACCTGTCGTATTCAATGAAATGTGCATGAAAGAAGGATTTCTGCCTAAAACAAATATATATATATATATATATATATATATATATATATATATATATATAAAGAAATATAGTCTTAAGATATGCTATATTTATGGGATAAAGTGCTCAATATCAGGAATAGAGCATGTGTAAATATAAAAGTGAACATTAGAACTTAGAGGCGACAGGCTGCTTCACGCTAGACGCATATATATATGTATATATATATATATATATATATATATATATATATATATATATATATATATATATAAGACATTGAATATAAAAATGTTAAAATGGATCTGAAATATAGAAGTCATTAAGCCACAAAAATAAGTCAAGCAGAAAACAAATCAAGAAGAAGTAACATAGATGGCGTAAAAGGTTGGTTAATTGGTATCCAATACATAGAAGGAAAAATTCAGGCAGAATATTGTGAGATAAGACAGAGAGGTTCACTGGTAAAACAAAGCAAAAAATGGCACTACGATTGGCCAGCATGGAAAGAATTATGAAAGTCATTTGTGCAGAAATGGATTTGCAATGACCACTGCTACTTGCTGAGTTAGCCCCTCCTTAATTCCCTAATTGTTCACTAGGGGTCGCTCTCCCTACACTATAAATACTGGGCGACTTCTTGCCCCGTTCTCTTTCTCTACTTTGCATTTCAGCGGACACATTTAAAAATTTAATCTCTTGCGGAGATCAGCGTTTTTGCCACTTGTGGGAAAAACATCATTAAACACACATGTTGGCATATATATATATATATATATATATATATATATATATATATATATATATATATAGGTTTTGTTTGTTTTTCTTTGCATCTTCGGTTGGACTCAATTTGAGTCCGCCATTTTCTTGTAGTTGGACCTTCTTCCGGCAAGAATAAACAGCACGTGTTTCTAATTTAACAACACGCAAACCCACACGGTCCTCTACAATATACATATAAATATATATTTTAAAAATAGATTCAAAAGTATCAAGATTAAGATTCTAGGCGCCTTTCGTCCGACACTTCTTCAGAAACTAAATCATCAGCAATATAAAACGAAGCAGTTGACAAGAAACATTTTTACAAACAACTGAAACTAAGAATAAATTACCAACAAAGGAGGCGGATATCTTGGAATCTATTATTATTAACATGCAACGTCCTGTCCTGTGTAGATAACGGCAGATGAAATACAAGTTGACCCTGACACGGGAAGAAAATTAGTAAAAAAAAAATTTTCCTCCTCCCCCAATTGCCTATTCTAGTTGGTAATTTATTCTTAGTTTCAGTTGTTGGTAAAAAATGTTTCTTATCAACTGCTTCGTTTTATATTGCTGACGATTTAGTTTCTGAAGAAGTGTCGGACGAAAAGCGCCTAGAATCTTAATCTTGATACTTTGTATCTATTTTAATAATAAAATTATGATCCTTGTCCTTAAAACTATTTCGTCATGGTGTGACAAAAATAAAAACCTGTTTAAATATATATATATATATATATATATATATATATATATATATATATATATATAGTGGGATATAAGAGAGTTGTCAGGACCGGAGAAGTCTCTTATATCCGGGTTTCTCTTATATCTGGGTCTCTTATATCCGGGTTACACTGTATATATATATATATATATATATATATATATATATATATTAGATAGAAGTCATCATGGCCGAGCGTTCGAGCGTCCTGGCGCTGTTTCAGCTGCTTATTTATGCGCTCTCTCGCAGAAACTGTAACTAAGGTCTGCTCAGCATAGTTGCAGTATAAACTGCAGGTGGGTGCTCTGTGGCTGTAGAACAAACACAAAATATGTCTGATCAGGTGTCTGCGAAAGGGATTGGCTAGCCGCCATAACAGAAGGGTGTTCTCGGAAATAAAAAAACGAGAGTAGCCGGATATTATTAGATACATAAAATGTTTTATAGATAGATAGATAGATAGATAGATAGATAGATAGATAGATAGGTCGCAACTGATATAGATAGATAGATAGATAGATAGATAGATAGATAGATAGATAGATAGATAGATTCATATGCACATAGATAAACATATGTAAATCGATAAGTCTGCAGTTTAATAAAGAAAATTATTTCAAACAAATATTTCTCGATTATCTTCTAATCTTGTTAAGTCACTTAAATTCAGTTATGACTATTAATCATATCGTTCTAACATTATACAGAGAAACTTTCAGATCAAAACTCAGAAAATGTGTTAGGTTGCGAGCTTAATAATTCATTGCTGTATATAAATGTTTTCGCTTCTGAGTGTGTGTGTCTGCTTTGCAGTGAGTGAATGTGTGTGCGTGTGTCTGTTATGCAGTGAGTGCGTGTGTGTGCGTATGTCTGTTTTGCAGTGTGTGTGTGTGTGTGTGTGTGTGTGTGTGTGTGTGTGTGTGTGTGTGTGTGTTTCGGAGCCCGCCATTGATCTTCTGCTGTATTTAATTCGGAAGTGAATAATATGACTCATATCACGTGATAAGACTTGTCAGCTTCAGAATCCAACAATTTCAGGCCCGAGAAAACTGTCGATGTCAAAAGTTTCCTGTCAACTCACATTGAAGAAAAGAAACAAAATGAAAATCATTTTTTCTAAATTATTTATTTAATTTGGCGAGGACATACGGAAAATTCAACATTTTCCAGTTTATGTTTGCTACTAAATGGTCCAAAGTTAGTGTTGCTGAATTCTTTAAGTCGACACTGCCAGCATTGAATGAGTTGGCTAATGTCTACAGTTGGAAAGAATTATGCATTAAATTAACATAATACCCGTAAAAAGTACACTTCAACGTGGTGGAATGTTTAGTAAGCTTGTCTTGCTAGTATTAATTACGACTGAGTAGTGAGTTCGATCCTCACTGGGTGTTTCACACTTTCGGCCTTGTGCCACATCTAAGCTATGCCTAGAAAATCATTTAGGGACCTCAACACGTTTAATGGTCAGTAATTTTGTCTCGCTAGAACAATTACGAGTAGTGAGTTCGATCCTGACTGGGTGCACCACACTTTCGGCCTTGTGCCACATCTAAGCTAAGTTTAGAAAATCACCATAATGATGGCACGTTTTAACGAATGGATAAATTATACCAATATATATTTTAGTATAAAGTTATTCTCAGGAAACAAAAGAATAATCTTTTTATTTACTCATTACACGCCAAGCAAGGCGATAAAGTCACTAAGACGCAATGGTGTTACTGAGAGAGAAGGAATCTGAGAAGAACATTATCGAAAAGAGAGGACAATAAAAGATTAGGATTCAAGGAGAGAGATGACGACGATTGACGTTTCATTTAATTTTTTTAAATCGTTCTTTACACGTAATCAAGAAGTCGGAAGGGAGTTCCTTAAACGTACGAGAAGTGCGCGCGCGCGTGTGTGTGTATGTGTGTGGTATAGAACTTATGATTAAATCTAGCAATTTCAGCAATAAAATGATGGGACCTAGCTGCCAATCTAGTACTGCTATTAAATTCGTTATACCAAAGAGGAAGGCACATCAGAACAATTTTCATAACAATATTAATGGAAAGTGGGGAAGGCTACGCTGGTAGGAATGTGACTGAAGTCAAGATGCCAGTTCGGGACAGATAACATCGCAGATTATTATTTCGGTTTTGTCAAGAATCTCTAGATGCATAACAGAAGCACCAGACCAAATGTGAGAGTAATATTCAATGCACAGATGAATTGTAGGCATACAATTGTGTAGGGGGGGATTATGTCGAGAAAAATTGTCTAGCACGATACAGTGAATCAACTTTATTAGCTGCTGAAGGCCTATAGTTGCAGATTCAATCTAATCGTTCCAATTCATGTCAACGGAAAACGTTATCCCGAGAAGACACTCGCCCGAGGGTAAGCAACAACCAAGATGATGGAAGGCAAAAAGGGATTCTCTAAGACAAAAATAAAGTCGATTCGTTTTGAAATTCTTGTCTCAGTTAACAACAGAGTGGAGGTCATTTTCTGGATCAGCTGCCAAATTGAACGGACCAATTACACTAATTATTACGACAGGAGTAAAAAAAAAAAAAGTTTTCATTTGACAAGTCATTGAACAAAATATATTTTCTATAACTCTTTATATTTGATGTTTTGTTTTAATCATTTGAAACGATAAAGCAAAAGAATTACATCAATAGCAGAAAAAAGTAGTAGCGGTGGTAGTAGTGGTGGTGGTGGTGGTGGTGGTGGTGGTGGTGGTGGTGACGGTGGTAGTAGTAGCAGTAGTAGTAGTGGTGGTGGTGGTAGTAGTAGTGGTAGTGATGGTAGTGGTGGTGGTGGTAGTACCTGTAGTGGTGGTGGTGATAGAGGTGGTGGTAGTAGTAGTGGTGTTGGTGGTGTCGGTGTTAGTATTAGTGGTGGTGGTGTCGGTGTTAGTATTAGTGGTGGTGTTGATGTTAGCGGTAGTACTAGTAGTGGTGGTGGTAATAGTAGTAGTGGTGATGGTAGCGGTGGTCGTCGTGGTAGTAGTAGTGGTGTTGGTGGTGTCGGTGTTAGTATTAGTGGTAGTGGTGGTAATGGTAGTAGTACTAGTAGTGGTGGTGGTGGTGTCGGTGTTAGTATTAGTGGTGGTAATGGTAGTAGTACTAGTAGTGGTGGTGGTGGTGTCGGTGTTAGTATTAGTGGTGGTAATGGTAGTAGTACTAGTAGTGGTGGTGGTGGTGTCGGTGTTAGTATTAGTGGTGGTAATGGTGGTAGTACTAGTAATGGTGGGTGGTGGTGTCGGTTGTTGGTATTAGGTGGTGTGGTGGTAATGGTAGTAGTACTAGTAGTGGTGGTGGTGGGTGTCGGTGTTAGTATTAGTGGTTGGTAATGGTAGTACTAGTAGTAATGGTGGTGGTGTGTCGGTGTTAGTATTAGTGGTGGTGTCGGTGGTAGTAGTAGTAGTAGTGGTTGGTGGTGGTGTTGGTGCTGTTGAATAGTGGTGGTAATGGTGAGTAGTTAGTAATTAATTGTGGTGGTGGTGTCGGTGTTGAGTATTAGTGGTGGTAATGGTAGTGGTGTAGTAGTGGTTGTTGGTGGAATGTCGGTTGTTGGTATTAGTGGTGGTAATGGTAGTGGTACTAGTAGTGGTGGTGGTGAGTTGGTGGTTGTTAGTATTAGTGGTGGTAATGGTAGTAGTACTGGTTGATTGGTGTCGATTGTTGGTGGTATAGTGGTGAAGAATGGTAATGGTAGTAGTAGTAGTAATGGTGAACTGGTGTCGGTGTTAGTATTAGTGGTCGCAATTGTTCTAGCAACGAAAATGGGGTGAACAGGCAGCATAGGTGGTAATTGAATAGTAGTGCTTGGAATTGGTGCCAGCAGTGGTTGTCGATATTGATTAGTAATACATGAATGGTGTCTATATTTGGATTATGAGGTATAGTAATTATTTAGTAGTGGTTGGGTGGTGTCGTGTGGTAGTCGGTGGTGTGGTGTAGGTAAGAATCTGGTGTAATTCTTAAGGTATTGGTGGTGGTGGTGGTATTTGGTGTTGTATTAGTGATTGTGGTGGTAATGGTAGTACATATTAGTAGTTTCGGTGGTATTAGTGTTAAGATCTGACTGTATTTCTGAGATGAGTTATGGTAATTTTAGTACTATTTACATTGTCGTGACTGCTGTCCTCATCTTTGTTAGTATTTCACGACGTTCGACTGTTGTACGCTTAGTAGTACTAGGATCTGTCTATATTTCTGAGATAAAATATTATTGGTAATTAATTAGTACTATTTAGTGGTATTCAGGTGTTGTCCTCATGGTATTAGTAGTGGTATTAACGGTATTTACTTCGTTGTACGGTGTCGGTGTTATGTATTGAGATGATGGTGGTTAATTTTTACACTATTTTACATTGTTCGGTACTATCATTGCGCCATATTCGACATTTCGGTGGTGGTCCGGCCTTCTTCAGGTGACTTAATTTCGAACTGAACTCTTTATTTCATTTTTGGTAATGGTAGATTGTACTAGTAATTACAGGCCTCTTGTCGATGTCTCAGCATCAGTTATCTCCCTTTAACTCCACTCCCCAAATTTTTGTCCATGTCAGCTATAGCCAGGTATTGAACTCTCAACAAATTGGGTCAAGTCACCCATTCAACCAACATTATCGTCAGGACATGGCACAGTACTATAGTGGCGATGTGGTGGTGTAGTGGTTACCATTTTGTTGTTTAATTCCGACGGAAGTACCAAATAGTAATGGCTGGTATATTCCTTGTTCGTCGGTATCACCAATATATATGTAATGTAGTAGTAATATTTAACTGGCTGGGAAAAGATGCGATTCAAGATTAGTGGTAGTGAACACAATGCAATTATACTAGACGTAAATAGCACATAGAATAAAAATATTAAACTGAACTGAATGATTCAAAACATAACAATTAGATTTGGTTGTTAGTTTGATGGTACATGCATACGAACTAGAAAGGTGGGACAGAGTTGTGTCCTTGATTAGGCATTGGTTGTACCGGAGGTCATGGTTAAGAAGAAGTAATATTAAATTTGTAATTTAATGAGAAAAGTTTGGAAATTGGTGGTTCTAAAGTTGATAAAAGTTCGAGGTGATTTCAGAGTTCGTGAATGTTGGTAATTGTCTTTAACGTCTGGGCCAGCAATGACTAAGACGGAAGTTGGTGTCGGTGTTAGTCTTGGCATTTGTGGTAAGGAATGAGAAGTGCAAGAGAGATGAATGAAAAGAAAGTTACTTTCGAGATTTCACACGTGTTCGGCTTTATATAATGGTCATGTACCACGTGGGAGGCGGTGGAGAACGCGGGGAAAATGGATTAGTCTAGTAATTAATTGTTTGATGTGGTCAGTACGACCAATCATGGTAGTAGTACTGAAGTGATTTGTGTGGTGAATACGTGTTAGTATCTGTATGGAAGTAGGTAGTTACTTACTAGTATTGGAAGAGTGCATTTCGGTAAAAGTGGTGGTAAGGCTGGTTTGTTGTACATCCTGGTGGTCACCAATTTAGTATTGAGATCGTTAATGGTAACCGTAATTCTATGATAAAGTTTCTGGTCGGTGTTAGTATTAGTGGTAGTGGTGGTGTGGTAGTAACC